TTAAGACAGATGAACATTAATTAACAAAAGTTGATCAAATTCTTAAATTTTGAATTAAGATTTTAATTTCTAAATATATGTTAAAATTTTAATTTTTTAGAGGGGTTGAAAGTGATATGCACTAACTTCAAATTTTAAATAAAAAATTATAATTATTTTAAGACAGATGAACATTAATTAACAAAAGTTGATCATCCGATCTGGGGGAATTCGAAAAAAGATAATATGTTACTCAATAATACAGACTAGATTGAGTGAATTTTTCTACAAAGAAAGATCAGACACCGACATAGAGATTCAAAACAGATAGCATAAGAAACCAGCACATGCATTTGTTCTGCATTGTCTCAAAACTCATCCAGTACAAGTCCTCCGTACTTTACAGAAAGTGAAGAAACGCGTTCTGAAACAATCAAAATTTTATTTTAGCTTAATTATACGGATTCTTCTAATTATATATATACAAATTCCTGTAATAATCCAGATTGCAATATTCACCGACAACCGCGTCTTCTATCTATAAATATGTAACGCTCTTTTCTGAAAATTCCATGTTCAGAAAGTGTAAGTCTGAAAAATCATGAGGCCTTCTGTTTGGCATTTTTATTTCATTTTCTTTGTCACAATCATCTTGCAGCAGGGAACAACAAAGGCCTTCTGGCTTGATGCCCACGCAACTTTCTATGGTGCTGATCAAAGCCCTTTCTCTCTTGGTAAGCCATGGCATATGCATGCATGTTCTTAATTAATTTCCGTAGATGTCATCTATCAAGATGGTTTGTTTTAAAATAAACACTCTTTATAATGATAGTTTATGTTGAAAACACCGTTCTAATTGAGGGTTTTTTTTTTTTAAACGATTACAAAATGATGAAATATATTGTGGATATACAGATGATTAGTAATTTTATTTTTATTGTTAATTAGGAGGAGCATGTGGATATGATAACACATTACACACCGGATTTGGAGCAAACACAGCTGCATTGAGTGGTGCACTCTTCGGACAAGGAGAGGCATGTGGTGCATGTTATCAAATTATGTGCAACTACAGAGTCGATCCAAAGTGGTGCCTCCGCGGTGCTAGTGTAACTATAACCGCCACCAACTTCTGCCCTCCTAATAACAATGGTGGCGCGTGTGACCCCCCACGCCACCATTTTGACATGTCCTTCCCTGCCTTCCTCCGCATTGCGCGGCAGGGGAATGAAGGAATTGTTCCCGTGCTCTACCAAAGGGTTCCGTGCAAGAGGAGAGGTGGAGGCCGGTTCACGTTGAAGGGGCAAGGGAGTTTCAATATGGTGATGATATCTAACGTCGGTGGCAGTGGTGACGTCAAGGCTGTATGGATAAGGGGTTCGCGGACAAGGACGTGGATGACCATGCACCGCAATTGGGGTGCCAATTGGCAGAGCAGCGCCGATCTCCGCGGCCAGAGCCTCTCTGTCAGGGTCACTTTGGCTGACGGTAAAACGTTGGATTTTCTTAACGTTGTTCCTTCGAGCTGGAAGTTCGGACAGACATTCTCTTCTCGGAAGCAGTTCTTTTAGCTTACTGCCTGAAGGAGATTAAGGGACTTATACATACATATACCACAAATATTCTTATTATGTCCTAAAACCAGAGATTTTTTGGTGTTTTTAGGACAGATAATTATGTTAATCTTCCAAGTTAATATTTTGAGATTTTCCCAGTAATTCAAGGGACTTCTCATCGTCATTGAAATAAACAATCTTGTTGTTTGAAGTTTTACTTAGTAATAAAAAGAAATGTGCCTTAATATTGGGAATTATGCATTGCTCTTTGTTTTAGTGAATGGAAATGTGTTGATGGATTTACACATTAAAAATACAATTTAACTTATAAAAATACAATTTTTTTTTTGACAATTTGATATAAGATGGGATCAAACCCGCCTAAAGAGAGAAAAGAGATACACCTATTCAATGTGATTAATGTCACTAGACCCGAAAGATCAAGAGCTTTCTTCCATCTTTTTTTCTTCTTCATTTATAGGAATATTGAATTTCAATTGCATCTCTACTACAATACCATCCGGTTTTCGTCAGGTATTAATATCAAAAAAAAGTGTTTTGCAATTTAAAAGGCAACTCTAACAACGTCACATTTTAATTAATATTTCTATTTGGATGCTGAACTTTCAAAAGCAAAAAGGGTCTTATACCTATATACTACTAATATTTGAAGTTGTAATATTCCTTCACTGGCTGTACATATATAAACTGTTACTGAATGACACAACAATTGGGGCAAATGTAAAGGAAAAAAAGTTGAGGGGGAAATCTGTAAAGTTAGATCATTGGATACTAGAACATCAATTGGACAAAATGTAGAGTGTGCTGCAGACAATAAAAACCAAGCTCACATATTGATATTTCCACTTTCCCAGTACCGTTTTTGTCAATCGGAGCGGCGCTAAAGCAAGTACTCCTAATTTTGTTTTTGGTTTTTTTTTTTTATTAATTAATTTGTTAATACACCTTAAATAAAGGAGTAATTAAATTATGAGTTTTTTTAATTCATAATCTTATGATACATATTAAAAGTATCTTTTCAATATTTATTATTATTAAAAAAATAAAGGCTAAGTTTTATTTAATTAATTATTTAATTAAAACTATTAAAATTAAAATTAATAATAAAATTAATATCAATTTTTATTATTTTTAATACTAAATAATGTAAAAAAATATATTTAATTACATTCTTAACTTTGATGCTTAAGAGAGATTAATAAAACTCTCAAATTATTAATTGTTACTTTCATAATGACTTGTTTTATTATTAATTAATTTTTTTCATTATTAATTGTTATTGTTGCTAGTAGTACTCCTATGGCTGACTCACTTTAGAAAATATTTTTAATGACTAATATCAATAAGAAATTTCTTTGCTACGTTTTTTTAATAAAAATGTTTTTTTTTTTAAGTTGGTGTGTAAAATAAAAATGTAAAAATATTTGATAAAATTATTTAAATATTTTTAATAAATTATCTAATTATAATATTTAATTTTTTTATAAAAAATAAAAATTAATACATTTTGATATTAAAAACGTCATAACATTAGATTCTAATCACATAATAAATAAAATTTAGGTGACACTCACATTATATCTCACACATCACATGATTTTAATTAGACATTATGATTTTTTTAATGATAAAATATCTTAATTTTATACATTTTTGTTTTTTATAAATATTTAAAAATATTTTTTTATACAAATTGATATGAAAATTTACATCCTTTTATAAATTACT